CGGAACAGTCTAGGGGAGGGGGGAGGCGGGGGGACGGGGGGAGGGAGACAGACATAGCGTGGAAAAGACGAACACGTTTCAACTCGCAACCAGTTTCCATATAAATGTAAAGCCTGACGAGAATTTGTCGAAAGTACACGTATACTCGCCAAACCGGACTTCGCAATTTTAAAACAATCCTAGTCGTATATCATTATCCGAGTGCAATAAAGTACTTAAAATGTATGCATGCGTTTAGTTGTAAATGAATCAAGCTTTGATCTATGCTGTAATTGACACAACCTGTTTTCTTTTTATCCTCATACTTTTTTAGACGAGAATTCTATGACTTTCAGGCAATATGCATTGAGGCCGTCATACCTGAAATTAACTTTGCAAGTCGCCTTTTATCGGTACGTTTCAAAAAATTTCTAAAGTAATTAAAACAAATGGTGAAATGTCCATAACCATTGGTCTCATATATTCATGAAAGGAAAGTTATTTCAGTTTTTCGTTTATAAGTACCATCCATATTTAAAGTGTTATATGGGGACTCGCGTTGGATAGCGAGACCAGGTCTTAAGGTAACCAATAACGCAACTGCCGTCTTTTTTCACTTCAAAAAACCTTAAAAGTGAAATTTTCATAGTCCTTAGACTAATGAAGTCATAATTTGTATTTGACTTTACAGACTATACGGATAAGTTGTGAGGGAGCCAGAAAAATTTCATACTGGGAAATTTTTATCCTAGAAATTTCGTATTTCTATATGTCTGGAACATCCATAAAAATAGCAATTGCAACTTTATCTCGGAAAGCTCTCCGTCCATTTTGTATCAGCTCCTGGACATATTTCAGCTAACGTGGTGCTTTTAAAAGAGTATATTTTACCCAGACAATAAAATAACTTAACCTAGATTAAAGATCTAGGCTTTGAAGGGAAGGGAACTGCTATTTTAACATTTAAGCGTGAACCTATAGCAACGTTGTAAAAATACTGATTCTAGATAAAACTCTATATGGGACCTCAGGATGAAGTTACGTCGGCTTAAATATTGCGTATTCGTCTTATAGTTTTGAAAAGGGCGATAGACTGAAGGCTGAAGTGCTGAAAACCTCTACGTGATTTTCAGCCGTCCTTCTGGTTACAGGCAGATTCTGGGCCTGCAGTCCTTTTTTTAACGTCGAGGCTCCTTGCTCATGTTTGTGAAATTTTCTTCGGCTACAATAATCCCAACAGATTTTGTGATTTGCCTTCGTAAACTGTGTTTTCTAGGCACTCTTAATATAACCTTTTTACGCATTCTGTGCAGTTATTATATCAGTTAACTCATCCCCCTGACAATATTTGCAAAACATCATGACAGGAGATCGCTCATCACAAACTAAAGAAGAAATGTCTTACGGTCATCGGAAGGCCTGGAAAATGCGGAAGTGTCGGCCAGGTTCTCGCTTATAAATGTCAGAAAAGATTTTTTATAAAAACACAATTTCGAGATGACCTTGAAATATGACCTTGTCTATTTTATTATCTGTCACTTCAGCCGCTCAACCGAATTGCTCAATTCTTGTGGGGCATCTTTACAGAATTCCTCTTGTGAGTCCTACTTTCATCTTAAACCTTAATTGACTTTTTAGTGAAAAGTTTGGCTTGCTTGAGTTCTTACATCTCGCATGTTTTGAAATTATTCATTTTGTTTCCTGTGTAGGTTGTGGATCAAGGCGGTCTTCTTTCACTTACAGAGCAGCGCGGTTGCTCAGGGTACGTTGACAAATATCTTTCCCAAATCCACACCCAAACTTCACCTTTTAAAGGACATAGTCGTTGAACTACTCCCGTCGAGCCTATAAGTTCATGAAAATTAGGCCTTACATAATGCTGTTACGTTTGAAGCCACCTAGCCTTTACAGAAATAAACATGGAGGGAAATTTAGGTAAATATACATTGTTGAGCATCTTCCTTGCATTGCGCGCTGCTGGCCTGGATAGGTGAGCCATGGCCGCAAGCCTAGTCTCGATAGATATTTTATTGTTGTTTTCACTCAGAGTACTAACAGCCCAGGTACTAGCTAAAAGGCCCAGACAAGTTTGTCGCCGATATTTTGCCGTTGCTTGACACAGCTGCGAGGGGTACGGCTTATTCATGGGTTCTACAGCTTTCCTTGTTTGCTTTCCGGTTGATATACTGGTTTTGAAAGTTCAGCCTTTTAATTTCCTGAGAAATAACGTCCTAGTGGTGGGTAATTTTACACCGATCTGGTTGGGGATGTACCTATCCTGGTTTGCTGCCTTCGCGAATCTTGGTACCCCAATCACCCACTACTATATATACTTCCGATCACAAACCGACAAGACAGCGGACTCGTGGCTCAATGGTTAGGGCGTTTGCCTCTAGCCGGAGAGATGCGAGTTCGAAAGTCAAGTGCGGCGGCAATTTCCGCTGCTACACTGGAGTTGGGTATCTCCATCTGACGACGGCAAATAAGCCAGAAAAGGACTTCGTGGAAGTCCCTCTGTATCTGTCGCTAATGTATAGAACAACGTTCTGTTTGCGGTATACATAAGTATATTTAAGGTCTATAGGCAAAGACTGAAATTTTAAGTGCTTATTTGGGCTGAAATCCGTTAACTACTGCGTAATATAAACCTGTTGTCAACTGAAAGGCTGTAGTAGTATACACAGTGTCCCAAAAATGTATACAAATTTTAACTTATTGTAAACTTGATGTTTAATATAATCTTATTATTTCAAAATGCCAAAAGATTGACAAATATCATTTTATTTTTTTTCCCTGCATTTTGACAATATTTTAAATAATTGAATTGAGAGAAGCCATTGAACATGAATGCGTCCAAATAGCAAGGGAATTGTTTCATGCTATGTACGATTCCATTGACTCGCGTTGTCAGCAGTGTCTGGATCAAAATTAATAATCAGTTTGAGAACATACAACGAAAAAACAATAAAGTGATACTTCTTAATGTTTTTAATTTTTTTAAATAATAAACTCATAATAAACAAAAAGTTTGCAATCATTTAAAATGTGCATACATTTTTGGAACACCCTGTATATTGATGTTGTAACTTATCATACGAACAGCCCCCGTACTAATTAAATGCCCAGACACGTGTTTTGCGGATATTCTGTGTAGCATAAGTTATATGCTACGCGAATGACCAACAGCTCAGACATGTCTACCCATGAAAGCCACTTCTGTCGTTCTATTATTAGTGGTAACAAAGCCATTCGAACTCCCGCAAGAGTTCGAAAGCTCAGACAAATACAACTACGATTCCGGTGATCGAAACTACTTCTTCCCAATCTATGCACATACCTGGGATGCGAACCTTTTCCTCGATTCGTAATTCTATATATATATATATATATATATATATATATATATTAGTACATATGTGTACAC